AAGCATATTATTGTCAACTTGTATGTCATATGCCCTCATGAACCTCCTAACTCTGAGTTTTCATTCAGACCTTCTTTGTGAACTCTGTGCTACCTTTGTTCCAACAAAACAGCTTCAAACACTTGCCAAGGAGAAACAATTTTAGTAAGATTGGGTGATAATTAATAGGACTTATTTTTGGATAAGAAAGGTCCTTAATAAAGGGCTATTTTCTGTCCTCTGAAAGGAACAGAGAATTTTCCCTAAATAAAAATAATAATATAATAAGAAGAATAACTTTCAACAGCTAAAGTACACGTGGCTGTGGGTTTTAAATTAGGGTTAGCATGTTCCCAGAAAGCCATGTTCAGGCACATTTCAATATGTATTACAAGAAATTTAAAAGATTGATTTATTTCTATTTGGAAAGCATATTTTACCATGAGAGAAGGAGAGAGAAAGAGGTCTTCTTCCCGCTGGCTCGCTCCCCAAATGGCCACAATGGCTAGAGGTGAGCTGATTGGAAACTGGGAACCAGGAGCCAGTAGCTTCTTCTGAATCTCCCATGTGGGTGCAGGGGCCCAGGACTCAAGGGCCTCCTCTGCTTCCCAGGCCACAGACAGGGAGCTGGACGGGAAGTGGAGCAGCCAGAACATGAACTGGCATCTATATGGGATGCCAGCCCCATTGGTAGAGGATTAGCTTGCTCTGCCACTAGACCAGCAGCCCCTACAAGGAACATTTTAAAAGTAAACTTGAATTCTGTGAAACACCGTAACTAGTTTGAAAATTCTATTCTTTCTGTTTTTGAGGCAGTTTGATGGATGCGAAGCATTCAAATAAGTCTGTAAGTCACGCAGCAGATCTAATATTTTTAAGAGGTCTTAATTGAAACAGTTGACTAGATTTTAAAATTTTTTTCTAAATAATTTAAATGTCTTCCAATAATGTATTCTGCAAAGCACTTCGGAGAATAAACTAAGTGTAAGTCTGGAACAAAATTATTTATTTGGCTTTCATCTTTTTGTAATGTTCCTATCTAGAGAATGTAGAATTAAAGATGAGAATGCCTGTGACACTAATTATAATAACTATGAAAATTTAGTTCTGATTTCAGGACTGTTTCCACAGAGTTGATAAAGAAAACTCAGAATATTAATTTCAAAGCAACTGAGAACCTAGGGACCAATCTAAGAGGAATTTGAACTCAGTCAAGGTGATGAGCCAAAGAGATAAACATTTTTTTTTTACTTGCCTCTGATATAAATATAGATCTTGGATTCTGTGTTTATTTTATACCGGGCATGGATTATTTAAAAATTGTTAGTTTTGGAAAGTACAATTAAACAGAAAGCAAAGCACAGTATCATTGATCAAAAGTGCACATTATTCTTTTGTGTTCTAAAATGCTTCCCCAGTGCTGTGTTGTGATTGTGGGTTACTTGGGGTGGGTGCCTTTGCAATGTTTGTGAAATTAAGCAGTATATAGCTCTTGTGTAATCCTGGTTACAGGTAGCAACACTATCAAACTGAAAAGGAGGAAACAGGAAATGAAGACCTAAGGCTTGCTTTTCTTTCTTCCTGTATTATAGAGAACAGCAGTACTGGGTTAAAACCGTTTTCATTTAAATGTCCCTCAATTGGTGACTTTTATGAACTGATTGTCATATTGTTAAAAATGGTTTCTGTAAGTGTTTCCGGGGTCTTTGGCCACACTGCTATGCCGTCAGTACTTACCGATCCTCTGGTAATAGCAGTTTCCATACACAGAAATTTAAAACTGAGAATAATGGTATAAATGCAGTCATAGAAACTATGTCTGTTATTGGGCGGTCTATTGTTAAATTTAATAGCTCGGTTTTTTTATGTGTGTGCATATTTTAATTACCAAGTAGATCTACAGGTGTAACATACATAAAGCAGGGGTAATCGTTTAATGCAGTTAGACTGAAGCAGTCTTAAAATTGGGAAAGGCTTACTGCCGCCTGTAACTGTGACTTTAAACTCACTCAGTATTTCTAACTGTTGACTCCTTTGTAAGACCTCATTTCTTAGACCAAGTTTTCTTTTCCAAGAATGCAAAAGCTTACTAAAATAATTTCTATTAGTAACTCATTTCATACAGAGCTGAGTCTTTCTTTGATTTTAAACTCAATGAAGAAAGCTCAGAATAGCACAGGAAATTTTGTGTGTTGTGAATAAATGTATGAACTAAATCCAATTGAGATGAAAGTGATTAAATTATGATAAGGCCATTGTTGGTCTCATAGCATTTCATTAGTTGTAGTATTCTTAAATATTTTGAGAATTCGGCCTAATTTTCTTACAACTGCATGCAAAATAAAACTATTTTGCTGCAATACCCTCACATGTACAACTGATTAAGTCTTTTTTAAAAACCTGCAAGACATCTAATAATAGATTTTTTCCTTATGCGTTTCTGAGTTTTTCCCCCACATCGTAAATTCTTTTTAGTTCCAAGATTAACCAGATCAGTACCTGTAATTTCAACTAGCTGTGCCTTTGCTTCCTGCTAGCGTGATAGGGGCTTGCAGAGAGCTTCACAAGATTTCGTAAATTCATCGAGCTCTTTACAAATAGCTTCCTCTTCTTACATGAAGTCTGATTATTGCCCTTCAGTTATTTGTCAGTGTGTTTGGCAAACTAAACCTTCAAGAATGATGCTGCATGGCGCATTTATAAAGTAGCATGAGGTAGATTACACTTTAAATATGTGAGAGAACTGAAACCTGTGCAGTTTCAAAGCTCTTCGCAGTCCGTGTCGTTTCACACAGAAAGCAGTAGGACAGATTTGACTCTGTGGAGGTTCCTGGACGTGACAGTGCTGCATTGCAAATGGCTGCTTACGTGTCTGCGTGGTTGTTTTGGAAGCTAAGCTCCCACGCCGTCAGCAGCGGGAAGGTTGCAGGGGAGGGTTGAGCAATAGCTGGGCATTTTTGCTGCAGAAATAGTACAGTACAAGTTACACCTGATAAGTAAGTTGCTTTGTTGCCTGTTCAGTTCCTGAAGCACTGTGTGTGGGAAAACCAAATCGGAGACTGCAGGTCAGAAAATGGCAGGCAGCTGTGCTGGAAAGAGCGGAAGACACCGCGGGCCCGTCCGTGACCTTCACCTTCCTTGGTCTTTTCTGGTAGTGGGTGGACTTTTTCTTTTTTTTTTTCAGTCGTGTCAGTTGAGTAACCATATGCAACCACACTTTAAACGTTTTGGTCAGGTAAAAATCCAGATACCTGTGTTGGTTAAAAATCCTTTAAACAGGCGTCCCACGTGGCTCGACCTGCGTCCTTTATTCTTGGCTTTGTCTAACTCTAGTTCCGATACTGTTTGCCAGACCCGTGAACTGTGTGTAATCAAGAAGAGCAATCCATTCCATGCAGCAGGTTTTTTGTTCTTACAATGGTAAAGATTAACATTTATAATCTGGAAAGATTACAAGAAAGTGGAAAAGTAATTTTTTTCCCTTCAATCACATAAACACAGGCATATCAGACCGAAAAATGTTTGTGTGAATCCCACTTCATTTCAGCAGTGGAATAACGCTCAAGATAAAAATTGTGAGAGATATTGTAACATTTGTGGGCAGTAAATGCTACCTATGTATTTCTTTTCCTGAAAACTAGAATAATGGATGTATTTGAAAATATAACCTAATTATTTGCTGGTTGATTTCATAATGTGAATAGAAGAACTCAAGTGTCCAATCACATACATGGTTCCTGATGAACTGCTCTGTGTGTGTGTGTGTGTGTGTGTGTGTGTGTGTGTGTGTGTGATTATACACTCCTTTGTCACACTTCGATTTCTCCTGAAATATGACACTCTCTCAGGAATGTATTTTAATTCTTTTTTTTTTTTGCCTCACTATAACCCCACAGATGGTTATATTTGATTCCAAACTTAAAGAAGAAGTAATAGCTCTTAACGTTTGAACTAAAAATCTCTTCTATTTTGTACGTTTAATTATGCTTAAAATTTGGAATTATTAATTCCTTGCTGTACAGCAAAATTACAGAATGAGTTCTTGCTTGCATAAGAAAGCTACATTATTTCAAATTGGAAGAGAATGGATAAAATACTTCAAATTGAATTATTTTTATTTTTCATAAGAATTAGGTAAAAATGGCATGATTAGCATTTTTCGAAGTTCAGAGTGTCTCTATCCACGCTATACAATTACATACAGATGCTGCTTAGTATTCTGATTAGCTGCTCATGTCTGCTGTGCGGCTGCTCATGTCTGCTGTGCGGCTGCTCATGTCTGCCGTGCAGCGTGTCCATCTTCTTGGCCGAAGGATGACTGTGAAAAGCACCTCTCTCTCTAAGTACAAAGATGGCTCTCTGAGTGAATCTGTCCTAAAGCTGAAAGATCAAGTGCTGCTTTGTTCACGTCAGATAATCATCTGCGTTTAACGAGAGGGAAAAAAATCACAGCTCCAGGAGTACTGAGTATTTGCTATAATTTTGTTTTTAACCATTTTAGAGAGAAGGAGATTGTGAAGAAATGGTTTTCTAAGTTTGGCTATGGTAATTTTTCATAGAAACATTTGCAAAAAGCTAAGTAACAACAGAAATCAGAAAAGATGAACTTTTGGAAATTTTTCACTCAGAATCTTGCGTGTGGCCTAACAGTTAAACCATGATATATTCATTTGCTCATTACTTTGAAGGATTTGTGATTTCTGTTAAATATGAGCTGTTTCTCCCATTTTCAAGCATAGTACTTGCCATTTATACGTGAAAGAAGAAGGTTCGGTGTCTGTGGCCTAGTTACAGAATCACAAAATTCATCTTGAGAGCTTAAAGTTTAGATTTTACTATGCTGCTATTTTGTTATATAGTATTTTTGCAAAGCAAATTTGTGTTATATTTCTCATAGGCGGTGTTTGCTTACTGTACTCAGTTAATAACGCATAATTTTTCCACAGTTGTGATAGAAATTAATTACTTGATACGACCCTGAAAGGTACCGTTTTCTGAATTTTTTGTCGGTCCCCCTGCAGACGGTGGGTGCGGCTGCTGTTCGGAAGAGAGTTCCCCCTGCAGGACCTCCTGGCGGTCTGGGACGCCTTGTTTGCAGATGGGCTGAGCCTGAGTTTAGTGGATTACATCTTCCTAGCCATGCTGCTCTACATCCGAGATGCTTGTAAGTGTTGGTGGGCTGCCGGTCGTCACGTAGGTAGTCCTGGCATGTTTTAGTGTGTTGCCTTTTAGATACACTGCATATTCTGTGTTATCTGCTTACATGTACACAAATTTTCAGGTAGGTAGTATATTGAAATTTCAAAGGAACGTACTACACATTTTGTTGGTTAACTATGGACATATTGGCTGATGTGGGTGATATTATCCTGAGAGAACTGGAATATTCTTTCGAACCATTTTTCTAAAGGCTTTACTCCTGCGTTAATCTCTCATTACACGTATTTGTGAAATGCATATATAAAAGCCAGAGTTTCAGATATGTTTAGAGCTCCACCTTCTGACAGGTAAGAGTATTCAAGAATATTTATCAGGAGATTGGAGCTGATTTTTTAATATCAACCTCTTGCCAATTAAGTTACACTTAGGTATATTTTCACTTCTTTCTGGGTATGTTATGTTTTACATTAATGGTAGATTTGCTTTGATCTCCTTAGATCTGTCTTATGGTGTTTGCAATACCCAGCGAGACAGTGCTTGTCCCTTTGGAATGGTCTGATAATCCTCAGCTTGAGGAAGATATCAAAGCATGCTTTAAATTTCAAAATACCTCAAGTTATGTTCCTTCCAAGAGAAATAATCACAGTTCACAAAATATAATCAGAGAAAGATTGTACAAAGTGGTGTGATTGAATTAAGGGAAGAACTGTCCTGGGAGCAGGACTTTGTCAGAAGAACATATAGACTCACTCAGAATCATGATGGTAAAATCACTGTGTGAGTCTCTGTTTGTTCATTGAATACCAGTGTGCCAGATGCTCTTGTTCTGCCTCTGGTAACACTAATATTCTTTAAAATTTTAGATTAGACTTTTTAAAATCCATCCAAATTATTTAAAAGAAATAAGTGACAAAAAAACACATTACATTTCATCCAAAAATTGAAGATTTTTAATCCATGCCTCGAAGGTCAGATGGTTAGGATTTTGGCAGACAAAGTGTAAGTTTCATCTTTCTGAGCTAAAGCTAGTCATCCCAGAACATGGAAATCATCAGAGGAAACATCTGGAAACTAGAGGAGGAGGTTTCGGTAGCTTTGCCGGATGCTGACTTTTAGAATACTCAAGACTGGTCTCCCTTGAAAGGTTGTAAGCTGCTTTTGATGTCAGTTAAAGAGAAACAAAGGCAATGAGAAACCTCCTTCAGAAGCAAATCCTTCTGGATCATATTTACACGAAATTTCAAACTCAAACAACTTCTGAAATGTGTTCTGATTTTCCATATTAAGCACTTAAGTTCCCTCTTTTCACACCTTTATGCATCACCACTATATGCTTGGCTTATTCATCCTCTTACGCTAAGATCTGTTCTTTCAATTTTATAAAACACGGCATCTTTTTGACAACTGAAGCCTTTAAGCATTTTACATCTCTTCTCTGATGACTTATGAAACATGGACACATGTGGAAAATGCAGAAGTAATACAAATTTTCATTTCGATATTTAATCCAACTTATTTTCATTTTCTTGGTTAGCTCCACAACAGTGATTGAGATCTTCTAATGTTTAAAAAAAGAAAAAAGGTGTGAATACACATTAAGTATCTAATCTCACTGCACCTAACAAGGAATTCTGACATAATTAGCACTAATATAGATGGTGCTGTGATTGAAACATGATAGTGTGAACCTGGAATAAGACACTAACTTCCCCTCTGGGACAGCATGAGTGAACAGAGAAAATGGTTCATGTGGGCGGGCATGGTGGGCATGGCGGGTGTGGCAGGTGTGGCAGGCATGGCGGGTGTGGCGGGCAGGGAGACCTGAGACTGCCAGTATGAAGCAGCTTCCTACAGACACACCTGGTTCTCTCTACAAATACAAGGAGAGAGAATAGCAAGTTATGAAACTGAAGAAGCTTATAGTAGAGATCACAATGAAAGCTCTGTAAGTAATAGAGAACCGCACAAGAGTTCAGAGCAGAAGTGTGGTCACTTTCAGAGTAAAATGAACTTGACAGAGACAAGACTAGGGTAAGAAAACCAGGTAAAAGCTCATGACAGCCATGCAGGGGAGAAAATAGTTGATTAGAAAAATGTTCAGAGCTAATGATGAAATGTGATAGATAATGAGGAATAGGAAGAGTGACCAAGAAGGCAACTGTTAATCAAGCATTTATTCAAAGAAATAATCACTCAGTGAGTGCTTAACTGAGTCCCTGCTGTTTGCCAGCCATCATGATACATCAGTGATGATGATGTGGGGGGATGATGGAGGAATATATGTACAGTAAGACTTCAAGGGACGATGATTGTTTTACTGGAAAGATAGGAAACAGTGGCTTGGAAGCAGAATCAGGAAGCTGCAGGAGTCTTCGCCATTCCCCAACTCCCAGAGGTCGCGGGGGCAGCAGTGACTCTGGAAGGGCTAGGCGTGGAAAGGAAAGCCACTGCTCCTCAGAATAAAGGGTCAGGAGGCAGAACAGAACTGGCAAAGGGCATGGGAGGGCAGTGCTAATGAGATGATTACATTACACATCCTGCCAAGCACTAGGAGGAAGCTGAATAACATGCCAGCCCTGGTCCTCCAAGAACGTTGGGGTCAAGTTGTTATCCCAGGCCGTGGCTTCTGACTCCTGATGCTGTGCTGGAGCTTCCAGACTGTAAGGTTCAGTTCCACCCAGTAGTGTCAAGTTCATCAGATCAGAAAATCCCAAGTCGACATCACAGTACAGAATATAACACGTGTTCTGTTAAAGCTCCACTTGTAACTGAGAGATGCTTCACGTGAGGGAGGCTGAGAGGGCCTTCCTTCAGAGATGCCAGGCCTTATGTATTTACTGGAGTCCGTATGTCCTAGCGATTCAACAGATGGGCCGCAAAGGGTGTGGTCAGCCTGATGTTGTGCAAAACATTGTATTTCTATGAATCGGAGGTCTATAATTTGATCATTTTTTCAGAGAAACACTTAATATGAAAAAGTGTTGAAGGCTTACTACATGTAGTCCAAAACCCTAATGTTACAGGCACAGGTAATTATATCCCTCAACAAGAGATGTTGAAGCAACCCTAACTTCAGAATGTGACCTAATTTGAGAATAGATTGTTGTTACTATAATTAGTTATGATGAGGTCATATTGGAATGTGATGGGCCTCTGGTCCATTGTGACTAATTGAACACAGACATGCACACAGGGAAGACAGCAAGAAGACAAGGAGAATGGTGTGATGTAAAGGCGGAGACGATCTGAGTGATGCTTCCCCCAGCAAACAAATGGCGAGAATTTTTCAGCCATCACCGGAAGCTAGGAGAAAGACAGAGAACAGATTCTCCCTCCAAGCCCTCAGACAAGCAAACCCTGCCGGCACCCACAGCTTCAAAAGGAGTGTTCCCCTTACTGTTTCCATGGGGAATGTGGCCTCCAGAATAGTGAGACTAAACATTTCTGCTGTTTGTGTTGAAATATGGAGTAAAATTATACAAACAGAAGAACTCAGATATGAAAATAATGTACCACTAATCATGAATCGTTATTCCCATAATAGTTTTTTTAAAGGCACACTTTTCCTCACAACTGTTCACTCATTTTCGTTTGAGATAGAAAGAGAGCTCTTTCATCCCCGGGTTCACTCCCCAGATGAGTGGGTAGGGAGCCCAGAACGGCACACGGGCAGAGAGCCAGGACATGGGCTGTCCTCCGCTAGCATCACAGGCCACCACTCTGAGATTGGGCGCCGGCACCTCGGCCTGCTGCAGCCGCCCCTGGACACACTGCTGTTAACTGACCTCAGTCTGTCCTGCGGGTCCCTCCTTCCCCTCTGTCCACTTCCCTAAGTCCTGCTCCATCAAGCCTGGAGGGAAACAGCTTTACAGTAAACCAGTTCTTAGCTAGCCCTCATTGATCTTCCACTACTGCAGTTTCAGAAGATTTTAAACAATACCATGTAATAAGTAGCATTTAATTATACTTGTTCCTTTTTATTGTTCCTTAGTTTATGGATGTTTGTCTTATCATCCCAACTTGATCATGAGCTTTGTTTGTTCCAGAACAAGTTACAAGTGGGGTTTTTTTAATTATTGTTCTTGTTTTCCATTTTTCAGCTTTTTAGATATAGGGCTTCCTTCCTTTCTCTCTCTTTTTTATCCTCCTTTGCCTTCCCTCCCCATGTCCCCTGTGTGTTACGATAAAATAGTGCTTAACTCTAGTCTCGACTCCAGCGCTTTGCTCTTTGGGGTGTCATGACATTATAGATGTAAGCAAAGGTGGAGAGTCTAGCATTTTGTTGTCAAGGTTTATTTAAAGTTTTATTGGGGGAGTGGAGACGCAGAGTGGAGTTCATCTTTGATTCCTACGACTACGGTCTCCATTATACCATTCGTTTATGAGATTACAAGTGGGTGTTTGTTCCTCCCCCTCCAAACACACATTGAAAGATCTTTACGTGTCCAGTTAATACTGGGGCAATACCCAACCAGGGTGCTAAAAGGCGAGGTGCAGGTCTCACTCTTGGACTATGGTCAGAATGAGTAAATGATCATTTTTTAATGATCATTTTAAACTATACTTTTCACGATGACTTTTTCAAAGACATCATTGTCTGCTTTTAAAATTAGCTAATTTTTTTCACATCTTGATGTAAAACTATTATCAAGCATTCTAATTTTGATGTAACATTGCTTTTATTTCTCTTGTAAATTGCATTAGTAGCCCAAATGCTATAATTAAGTCTACTTAACTATAGGTTTTCTCAAGCATAAAGTATCTCTCACATAGTTACGGTCTTGTTAAATTTACTTTTTCTCTGAACACTCTGCAAATGGCAGCTTTCCCTCTTGGCGCTTAGGCCCAGTGCTTCCTGCCTCGTGTTTTGGCCAGCACAAACACCTTGGCGTACTGGGGCGTAGTGTCTCCTTCCGCCACTCCAGCGCCTGGCCTGGCCTGACAGGTGTGTCCTCTTTGTGAATCACGTGTTGTCCCTTTCGTTGCATCTTACGTCTCAGCTGACTCTTCAGCCACAGTCCGTCCGCCAGCTCCCATGTGTCCTACCCCCAAAGTTTTATTTCTCTATTTTCTAGTTAAGAACATGATTTCAACATCACACTCGTGTCAAAATGCAGCTTATCTCAACTGCAAATTGAATTTTCGTATCTTTTCTAGAAAAAGCGGTACCCAGCCTCAGTTACTAAAAATAAACACTCTCTTAAACCACATGGTAATGTGTCACAGAGTTTTATCAAAGCACAACTTGGCGGTCCTGTTTTAGAAGGAGTGTTTAGGCACCTCCTGCCTGCCAGCTCTCTTCCCTTCAGACATAAAATATTGACAGTTGTTTTCATGGCCATATCAGTTATGGATATTAGCATGTCCTTTGAGTTACAAATGTCACTTCTATTATGTTTTATGGTAGAGTAACTGTCTTACGAAATTTCACTAACATTCAGAAATACTGCAGTGGCTCACTGTCTATTTTTTCTTATTTAATGTTCACATTTAAAAAATAGATTGTATTTTTAAAGAGAAGTTTAGACTCACAGCAAAACTAGGCAGATTATGTAGAGTTCCCACATATTCCCAGCTACCCTCACTGTTGTCAGTCCGTACGCCTGCCTGGATACGTCATTACTGCCCGGGGCCCATGGTCTGTGTTAGGGCTCGCTACATTCCGCAGGTTTAGACAGTCTCGGGATGTGTGTTCCCCATTGTAGTGTCCCATCGAGTAGTTTCACTGCCCAGCAGATGCAGAATGCTCTGTCCTCCTTTCCCTCTAACTCCTGTCCTTCTGCTGTCTGCATCGCTTCAGCTTTCCCAACGTGTCCTATAGTGGGAGTCATTCAGGAGGTGGCTCTTCTAGATGAGCATCTTGTGCTGGGTGACACATGTACATATACAATACATACATATTTTTTTGGTATGACTTGACTGGTCATTTACTCTTAGTACTGAAGAGCATCCCATTGTCTGGGGCGGGTGTTTGTGAAGGTACGTCCCCGGGGACACCTGCCTCATACATCAGTGTGCCTGGTCCATGTGCAGCCTCTTCACTCCCACTTCCTGCTAATGTGCACTCTGGGAAACAGATGCTGAAGTAGTCAGCCCCTGCCTGCACGTGAGAGATCCAGCTGGAGTCTCTAGCTCCTGGTGTCGGCCTGGCACGGCCCCAGTGGTTACTGGTGTTGAGGGGTGGGAGATTCCTCTCTTTCAAAATAAATACCTTGAAAAAACAAACCCCTCGCTGTCTAGATGTTCGTAGTTTATCCGTCCACCTACAGAAAGACATCTCTGCAAATTTGATTTGTCTTTCCAATAAAAAATAAATAAGTCTAAAAAAAAAAAAAGACAGCCTCCTGTAGGGATCTTAAGCACCAAGCTAAGAATCACTGTTTTGTGGGGCTAACACGGTGCCTTAGTCTTTCCCCAAGACCAGACAGACTAAAAAAATTTGTTTCTTATTTATGGTTTATTTCCTTCTCTGTCTCCCCTTGTTTGACGGTCCATTTGAAATTCCATTTTGATCATTGCCATTTTGTCCTAGGAAATTCGGCACTGTAAGGGTCTTTAAATAGTCGAGGTACTGCAGGTTGTTTCATGCTTTTTCATATCTGTAGTTGGACCGCAGCAAGTATTCCGAGCACGTGGTATTCATTCAGCGCCTGCTGTCTGTAGGGCCTCACAGGGCACTAACCAACCCACTGGATTGATTTTCAGTAGAAACAGCAATGAATTATGAGAAAGCCTGAAGCTTTACTTTTTTGTCAGCTCATTTAGGACAGCCCATTCAAAGTGGGGTCTAGCCACCAGGCTAAAGGCTGGACCCGTTACATGGATTTTTAAACTATAACTGAGTCACGTATATGATCTTCAGGTGACTTTATGAACAGTTTAAATGGGACCTCCAGATTGAAATCCAGTCCTGAGTGCTGAGCCTAAAATCCTTTAGGCAAAACTCCTGCCTCTCTTACCAAATTTATATAAAAAGATCCCCTTGGTCGGGTCCTAAAATATAGTCATTATAGAATCTGGAAAAAAAATAACTTCTTCAGTTATCAGATAAATTAAACTTTGTTCACTTGTCAGAACTCAAAATAAACCATGAAATGGAAGCATTGTACCGTTCTTAGTATGGAAGCATTTTGAATTTCTAGAGACAAAGTGGGAACAGGTAACTGAATGTTACAGAAGGACGGTAAACGAGGAGAGTGGGAAGAGACAGCGAAAGGGTGGGACAACTGAGTGCTTTACAAATGAAAGCAGATGTATGAAATTACAAGTTGTCAGCTGAGCACTGGAAATGAAGATGATAAAGTGGTTCCTTACTTCGAGCCTAATTACTCATTTCGCCCAGTCCTGTCTCCTCCTCACATGGTGCTCGTGATGCAGAGAAAGGAGTGAGAAGCTACTGGAAGACGTGGTTCCTCTCAACAGCAGAAAAAAGAAAAAAGCTTAAGAATCAGTGGTATCTCTGATTCGAATAATTGTTATTTTGAGATTCCTGTTGTTCCCACTAAAGCCCGGTTGTTGTCGTGTGGAACATTGTTCAAGGAATTTGTAAACGAAAGTGAATCGCTGACAAGCACAGGAAGTTGTATCTGCTCAGTTTCCTTGCAGCCAGTGCTGTGAAGGTGGTCATGTGACTTCCCCAGCCAGTGCTATGGCGGGGACTGCAGCAGCAATGGCGGACTGCAGCGCGGTAAGCCCGTTCACCCAGACCTGCCTGGAAACGGGTTTTAGCAGTTGTGCCTGTATTAGGCACAGTTAAAAAAAAAAATGAAATGAGAGTCTGTGGAAGTTACCTATGAAGATTTTGACTTTCTTTTTTCCTACAGAAATACTGAATAGATATTTCCCCTCCAAATTTCCTGTTACCTTCAGGAACACAAATAATTGAAAGAAATTATATTTTCTTGAACTTCTAATTATGTAATATTTATATCTAGGAAAGAATAACATGTAAGTTATAAAGCATAGTAATCAAGGTAAATGTTATTTTATGAGAATTTTAAACTGGTTCTTTCTCATTCATAAGGTTTTTGTTACTAATTTCTAAGCAGCAAAACTGGAGACATTTAAACACAGCCATAGAAGTGGCAATAAATATGCATGTTTCTGGGAATTTATTTATATTGCAAACGTGAGCACATATCTGGAGTGAAGCTGTTGCTTCCAGCACTGAGGATAAGCTCTAGTATGTTAGGTCGCAGTTAACAATACAGTACGCGGCTTCAAAGGCCATTTTGGTAAAGACCCCTTCTCCTTCCTTCCTGTTGTCAAATCAGTGCAGTTATTGCATGGCCTGCTCTGGCTCTACCTTGTTCATGTGTAGATTGTTAGTTCTGCACAGTGTCCTCACCAGTGCTGTGTCTGAACTCTATTTCCCTGTCGTTCAGTGATCTCAAGCAACTACCAGACCTGCCTGGGCCTGCTGATGCATTACCCCCTCATCGGGGACGTACACTCACTCATCCTTAAGGCTCTGTTCCTCCGAGATCCAAAGGTAAGTTTCCCAAGAACAATACGTGCAATTTCAGATTGGGTGAAAAAAATGGACTTCTCTGAATGAGTTGAAGAAATTGTCTAATAACAGATAAAATGCCCTGATGGTAGATTTGCTTAAAGCTGTATGCCGAAACTCACATCTCGTTGGCCAGCGGGTCAGCTGACAGATCCAACGGACACTGCCATGTAAAACTTGTCCCACAGCAGATTGTCCCACCCTCCCTGCTGCTTTCCTCTTAGCAAGCGGAAGAGTTAACCACTGCCTCTGCTAGGAGCTAATCATTACCAACCTACCCAATAGTGCCAGTTCTGAGGGAGCTCTTAATTCTATGAAACACTGATTTAGTTCATATTATAAATATATATACATATATCTTTTTTTAAATTTATTTTTATTGGAAAGTCAGATATACAGAGAGGAGGAGAAACAGAGAGGAAGATCTTCCGTCCGATGATTCACTCCCCAAGTGGCCACAGCTGAGCCAATCCGAATCCAGGAACTAGGAGCTTCTTTCAGATCTCCCGTGTGAGTGCAGGTTCCCAAGGCTTTGTGCTGTCCTCAACTGCTTTCTCAGGGAGTTGGATGAGAAATGGGGCTGCCGGGACATGAACCCGCATCCATATGGAATCGCAGTGCATACAAAACAAGGATTTAGCCACTAGGCTATTGTGCCAGGCCCTATATATCTTGTTTTGTGGGCTAAAGGTAGCTTAATAAAATTAAGATTTAAAGAAAATTTGACACTGATTTCTCTATTTGAGTGTAAAATGATTTCTTTACACTTAAGAGAAAAAGAAGTATACTCTTTTACCACTAATGTTGTATTTCTTGAAAATAAGAACATTTAATCATCTAAAAAAAAAAAATCTGTGAATCCGTACTACTTTTGATCCAAACAAAAATATTGGCTGAAGTATAAGAGAGAAAGCTTCAAACACAAGTTATCGGAGCGCCAGGCACTGGATGGAAATCCAAGCCTCTGGCTTCTTGGCAACCATCCCAACAGGCACGTTGGCAGTCGGTACACTGAGTCAGTCGGTCCGTCTGTGGATTCCATTGCCAAAGCTGTCTGATCAACTTGAGCCTGCAAGTTTCACGTAAATTTGAAGCTGAAGTTTTTCTGCCCTTTTTTCTTGACTGCTGACTTCGACCTTTGAGCATATCCTCTGTTTTATTGTTTGATTGATTTGAAAGAATTTATTTCTTTATGTATCTATTTGTTTTCTGCAGAAATAATTTTTGTTACATCAAGAAATATCATCAGGCATCAGATACATATGCCATCAGTTCTCTGATGTTTAAGAAACAATGCATTTTTTTTTCTCTCATAAGGCTTAGGAATCTGAGTATAAAATCTAAAATTTCATATTTAGATTTTTTTGTGCAAAAACGTATGTGGGTTATATAAATACTTCTTACAAAAGGGACGAAAAGGCATCCACCACAGTGAGGAAGTGTTTATATAAAGAACAAGGTTGCTGGTCAACGAGATATGAGTTTTGATCTAAATTTTAAGGTATTCTATCAGGTTAGAATTAGAAATTCGTACAGAATGGGAAAAAATGCTAAAAGATGTGATTTTCTGCTTTGTAATTTGTTTGATTTAATTGAAGGGAGAAATGAATATGTTCTCCAAACCTATGGATCTTGGTAATGCTTCCCTACTTCAGTCTACTAGACCTTACGATTCATTTTTCAGGTTCCAGAATTTTTTATAATATTTTTTAACTGCATAATAAAGCGGTGCACATATGCATGTAAATAATGAAACAAATTCTCCAAGCATTACAAATACGGATTCTTTGAGGTTTAATAAGAGAAAATAGCATATGTCCAAATAAAATGAATGATTGTGCACCTTTCCATTAACTCTTAAAAATGCAGTCAAGGACCCGGCTCGATAACCTAGTGGCGAATGTCCTCACCTTGCATCCGCTGGGATCCCATCTTGTCCTGGCTGCTCTATTTCCCATCCAGCTCCCTGCGTGTGTCCTGGGAAAGCAGTAGAGGACTGCCCAAAGTCTTGGGACCCTGCACCTACATGGGAGACCTGGAAGAAACTCCTGGCCTCAAATCAGCTGAGCTCCGACCATTGCAGCCACTTGGGGCGTGAACTAGCAGTCAGAAGATCATTCTCTCTGTCTCTTCTTCTCTCTGAAAATCTGTCTTTCCAAGAAAAATAAATGAACCTTTTTTTAAAAAAGAAAATGCAGCCAAGATTATGGCATAAAATGTAAGATACTAACCGGATATTCTGAAACATAAGAAATTGAGCGTGATAGGGGAGTCAGGGTCACAAGACACTTGGGGCACATAGCTGTCATGGTCATGTCTGTGTCCCAGAGGGAATGGAGCTCTAGGGAGCCTTAAGGAGCTTGGAGGTGGCTAACCCAGGGACGAGTGATGGTTCCTTGTGTAGAATGGTTTGCCCATTGATGATTAGTGAATTATAAGGAGCAGCCTGTATCACTTGCCACCGTGTGCTCATGTAGGTCTGTGGCAGCGTAGTGTTCTGCAAGAAAGGAATTGGGATCCTTGGCCAAGCTTGATTCTGCCATCAGCCACCCTCATTGTTTTGGCAACGTCATGCTGGCTGAACCTTAGATAGTCTGTTTCGTAATACGTGGAGGTTAAATTATCTCTAATGACCCGCCTAGTCAGTTTGTCTATAAAGAACTGACTTTTTCATGAAATAACAAAAAAAGAAGTTATATTTTAGAAACCCACAAATAGTCAGAAATTTCCTTGTAGTTTTTGCTGGTTACAGTCACGGAAGTAACCATTTATGCCAGAGAAGAAAAAAAGAGGGAAAAACGATCCTCTAAAATTCTAGACCTCCTAGTGCTTGAATACTTTATATTTAGTGGCAACAATGAAATACTTAGGATATTTGAACCAGTCTCCAATGAAAAGAACTGGCAGGAAGATGAGATTTGAGGCATGAAAGCACATTTTCCCCATTTCCCAGCTTCTTATGACAGTAATGTTGAGTGCTGTTGACAGGTTAAATAAAATTAAAATGAAGCAGGAACTCTAAGCCTCAGTAAGTTCATTGTAAAGCCACAGAGAAGTACTTTGTCCTGCCGTCATTCCTAAATCCCTCTAGAGACTGCTCAGTTGAGAACAGATCGCACTGGTAGACCTTGAGACATTGAGCTTTCATTGCTTTCCCGGGGAAACCCTTCTCATTTGAATGGACTGTAAGCTCCAATAATAGGATCTACTTCTACCCAGTTATCCAGCCATTTGGCGTCTTTCATTGGGCCCTCGAAGTATTCAGAGAAGGTTACCGTCCTGCAGTCTCTTCTGGCGGAGTTTAGTTATGTGGCCTTCTCAAGGTCAGAACGTGTGTAAGCTTCCAGGCTCACAGTAGTGGCTTTATGGCACCTCTGTTGGTTCATTCCCTTTTCAGAGTGCTGTGTTCCCTCCTGCTTTCTTTATGATATCATCCGAGGTGTGGTTAGATTGTGTCCTTGAGTCTTTGCAACACCTTGCATCTTATCTGTATTCATATTTAATCAACATTCTTCCTTAGGACTTGGATCCTATTCATTTTTTAAGTATATAGCTTATGCTTATTATTAAGACTGTTAGAACTGAATTCCTGCGCAAACACAACCCTCTTTCCAGTGGACAGCACTGACTTTAATGTAGCTGGAGTTCACTCATCAAGAATATTTCATATCCGTATTCCACAAAAAAAACAGCGGTATAGTTTTCATCTTCCGTTAAAGACAGTGGTGTCATACCTATATATTTCTCTACAAATTCTCTTGTTCATAATAGACATGTCATTGCATCTCTTTTTAATTGAAACTGAAATGAAACTTCCATATTTATAAGTGACCTCAGAACTGCTCAAAAGTTGAAAATATGTGTGTAAGGATAAAAGTGATTGTGAAGGATTCATACCATGCTGTACACTTTAAACATAGATTTTTATGCTTAACTCTGCAGACCACAATCATAATTCTCCTTTTTTCTTGGTTATAATGGAACTACTGAGCAGATTTCCAAAAACAATCCAGTAAAGTAAGAGGTATAGAAAGAGGACAGTGTGAAAAATATGAAGTGATTAAAAAGCATTGTTCTGGCTGGTTGTTCAAATTCCAAGAAAAAAAAAATTTAAAGCCCAATTAGAAACAAAAGTCATAGAAAATGTGAACATATTGTGTTCCTGAAATAACCAGATGTTCGTTCCTTCCTGAAGGCAGTCGGGGCTAGGAATAAAGGTTTAAAACTATTGTTTTAAGTTACTGTGAATTTTGCAAATCTGTTTTTACCCTTTAGCAACTAAAATTCTAATACAGAAACATACGCAAAGTAATTTTCCTGTTTTGGTGATCCCTTATTTGTGCTGTGCACTCCCATGTCGGCCTCATCTCAGAGACTTCCTACAAAGGACATGCCGGAGTTTGACAGCTCCCGCTCCTTTTGAAGACTAGAATATTTGAGGAAAGGGATCCGATAAGTTTGCGAGCAACCTTTTTAGGCAGTGACTGTTGCTGATTATGAAAAAAAAATGGTTAGAAATAAGTTTCATAGTAATGCTTGTATATAAATACACTGTAAAAATATAATGTACAGTGTTCATATGCTTCACCAATTCTGATTCGACCTTTGTGGTTTTTAAAAATTTTTTATTCTTAAATTTAAATTTTTAACTATTTTAAATGTCTAAATTTTAAATTTCAGCTGCTATGCAGGTAATTAAATTTTTACTCATTTAGTTCCCAAAACCCACTGTCAGGCAACATTTTTTGGTGTTGTCATGTAATTTGGTCAAATGTCATGCATCAGAATTGAAAAGAGTGAATGGATTCCAGGCTACTATTACGAAGGTGACATTGTTAAGAACTGCTTCTTTCTTGCAACTTCTTTGTAACCCTTTCTTTTTTTCCCCCCATTTATTATCATTGTTATTATACTTTATGAAGCAATTCCATAGGCCCTGGGATTTCCATTACTCCCTCCCCAACTCGCTTTCCCCCCACCTG